TGAGTCGTACACCACGGCCGCCAGGACGCAACCGGAATCAGTAGCTTTAGACGCAATCTCGGCCAGGTTTTTGGAGAGTAAGTCCATGAACCAATCGTTGATAGCAGCAATGCCATCTGGTTGGCCGCCTCCGGATTCAGGGATGGGTTCGATCCGGATCAGGCTCGAGTTGGTCTGAACGCAAGAACTAGTTGATGAAGGTGTAATGATTGTCGATCCAACTCCTCTAGAAGCTAAACGCTTCGAGAATTGAACCATCGGGGTTATGTGGCCCTGTATAGGGAGAGGAATGACGAAAACATGAACCCTATAAGCCATTTTTGCCGAGATAAAGAAAAAAATACGTATTTTTTTTTTGGACAATTTAGGTTCTGGTGGAGGGAGAGCCATGGAAGAACTCTAGCTCTTCTTATTTACGTTTCCTGCCTGCCTCGACTGGACAAGACGTAAGGGGTCCGGCTGATTCTACAGCCGGAATCACTAAAGGGGCCACGGCCAGGACGTCCTCGCTACAACATAAGTGTTGACATTAACACTTGTTTGGGAAAAAAATAAGAGGTGTTAAGAAGTGTAGTAAAAGTTAGGAAGTGTTAATAATAATCTTCCCAACACCTCAATTCTCCACTTTTTTAGCACCCCGATTTGGAGTGTTTTGAGATCTTGGACAATTATTACCCTTCTCATTTACCTTAAAAACATAAAATGTTTCGACATCTCACTTCGAATCTCTTTGGCGCAGGTCTGATGGTCTGCCTTTTTCATCTCTTCTCCTTACTCGTTTCTTCAGGCTAAAGGTAAAATTATTAACACTTCCATTATTAACACTTCATTCATTTGACTCTCCCAAACAAGGTAAAATTATGTCTAACACTTACACTTCTCTTCCCTTCTGAACCCTTACTAACACTTACTAACACTTCCATTACTAACACTCTCTGACACTCAATCCAAACATGCCATAAGCTACCAGGGGTAGGTGGTCATTAAACGTAGTCCCTATAAGGCTAACCGTAACTCAGTCTGTCAATGAATCTAATCTAACATCAATTTATAAGTATTAACTCAGTCAATTCAGTTTTTCTCTATAACTCAACACCGTCAATATATTCACTCAACACATTCTTTTTTAGTTAAATCCTTACTTTTATCATTATACATATTTTTTTTTCTCAAATTCTATTTTTGCAAATAATTATGATTTAAAATATCAAACATTCCGATTTAAAAATAAATAAATTTGGAGTGAAATTTTTAACCATGAGATCTATTTTTGAAAAATAATAATTGAGAGATGTAAAAAAATATTTTAACAATGAAATCTTGATTTTAACATTTGAGTTGATTTGAGAAAAATGATAGATCTACAAATCTCCACCAAATGAAACTTCCCATTTTTTATTTTTATATATCTAATATTGGTGTCATATGAAAGATCATAAAAAGATACTCCCTCCGTCCCATAAAATAAGTCTCATTTCAATTTGGATCGGAGTTTAAAAAAGTGAGAATAAAGTGGAAATGTATGGTTGTAGTTGAGTAAGAAAAAGGTAAATGAATGTTAGCCACACAAAACTTTCCAAAAAAGGAAATGAGAACATTTTTTTGGGACGGCCCAAAAAGGAAAACAAGACTTATTTTATGGGACGGAGGGAGTATAAAAAAGTTATGATAGTTTAAAGATGATTGAGATTTATATTCATCATGGGACCCATCCTTTTTGTTTCCTGTATCCAAGACACCAGAGTGAATCAAGAAGCTAATACCCACTCATGAGAAGCCATGTATCCACATTGAGACCTCCTCATACAGTGGGTTGGAGAAGTTTTTGGGGGTGAAAAGTCCGGCTTTTTCACCTCCGGGTTGCGATAAGCCTAAGATGTTTGACGCTTGTCAGTGCACGACAAAATCACTAGAGGTCTGACGGTGGTCAATGAATGATAGTCACTAGGCAGGTTACTGACAATAGTTACTGATTGACATAGTTATCGGGAGTAAATGACGGAACAGAGTAGATTTTGGTCAGGTGTTTCCGAATCGCGTTGATGTAATTTTTTTGACGAAAAAGAGTAAAACGGAGTACTGAACTCCGAATTTGAAGTGCCTGCGAGGATCTGACGAAATCTTTAACGCTTTTCGGATCTGACAACTCTGAAAGCGTTCCGTCAGAAAATGTCAGCCATTTTCGGAGCTGACAACTCCGAATGCAGAAGATAGAAAATGTCAGCCATTTCCGCGATTTCCCAACAATTTCATTGGTCCGTCGGATTCTAGATTGATAATATTTTCAGCATAAATACTCCTCCTCCTCCACACTTTCACACCACCAATATCTCCTCCTCCTCCCACACTTTCATACCAACAAAACAAACAAGGCTTCCTTCAAAGGTTAGAGTTTATTATTATTATTATTATTATTATTATTATTATTATTATTATTATTATTATTATATTATTATTATTATTATTAATGTTGGTAGAAAATATGTTGAGTAGAAAATTCGGCAGCAATTCAGTACAGTAAAAGTGACTTATCCAATACAAAAAGAGGGGCGGCCTATTTATAGGCGCTTACAAGAGGTTTCTCGAATACTAATGGGCTTGGCCCAATTAAACAACTAAAACAAGAAGCCTGATCCCAGGCCAATGGGCTGGTCGAGCCCAGAGTTAAACCAATCAATCCAAGGACCATATTATCTAGCCGGACCGTGTGCTGGGTCTGGTTCGCGCCCGAGCCCAGGCATATTGGGTCGATAGTATTGGACCTGGCCCATTATCCCAACACGAGTCCCCCACTCCCCTAGTCGAGCAGCAGACTCAGCTAGAAGGGAGTAGTCAAGTTGATCAACGATCGGTTCGTCTATCGGATCGGCTGGCTAGTCGCACCTCCATTGTAGCAGTCTGGGGTGCTCGTCAATCGTAATCGTTGGCCCGTAGGGGGGCCATACTTTGCAGGCCTTGATCGGCCCCTTTGCTTTGCCCCTGGCCCGACGGTATGCAACGTTCCCCATCAGCTTCAATAATTTGGGCCTGAAATTCCAAAATACGAGCCTTGTTTTTCTGTAGCCGTATATTGACCATGCGACGGATATACATGGGCTTTAGCCGCACACCCGACCAATAAAGAACCCCGCAGCCAGGGTTGGAATCTCGTCCAAGCCTTCGCGTTTTGTCACAGAAACCCCAGGCCAGCTTCCTAAAATAACCCGGAGCTATTCCAATTAATAATTTCCTTCATTTTTTTTCTTTCCATATTCTTTTAATTTCCTTGAATCCGAGTGTGGCCTAGCCTTAACACCCTCGATCATCCACGCGCAATTCAGCCATGCAGGTCCCCTCAGCTTCAGCCGTTCCAGCCGCAGCCACGGCATCGCCACGTCGCTCCATCCCCAGCCGGCGAAGGAAACGCAGCGGCTCCCCTTCTCCGTCGCGCCGGAGGGAGGGTCATTCACGACGTTGTTCGCCGTCGCGATCTCGTAGCCCAGGCGGTCGGAAAAAACCCAGCGATTCAAAGTCATCATCGCCGCCTGTTCCAAGCCTACGCACAGGTTCTCAACACAGTTCACGACACGGAGCTCATCATAGTGCCCTCTCCACCCGTGAACGTCGTCCGTCTGTCAAACAGTCCCAGAAACCTCCAGCGGGTCAAATATCATCTGTGCGAGACCCCCCCGGGCGAGGCGGACGCACTGCCACAGTCTGGGAACTTGGTTGCACGAGCCCATCGTGGCGAGGTGGGGAAAGAGTCCGTGCGTGGAGGCTCGGTTAAACAAATTCAAGCCAGCGGGGTGAATGCAACGTCTCAGCCCGAATTCGGGGCATCAGGGAAAAATCAAGGGGTCTCCGATAATTTTTTGATGCATGAAAAGGTCACCACCTCCTCGCGGTTGGACAGACCCGCTACGCGGATTGTGATCGTTAAGGGACATCTCCGGCCTGCTCCGGGGGGGGCCACATGACCAGTCTGTGCCATCCTCCAACAACGTCACCCCTGTAGTGGACATTGCCTCACAGTCGGATAGCTCCCCCAAATCAAATGGCGAATCGGATAGCGTCGAAGATCCTAACGCTTGGAGGGAACGTTTGCGTTCCACCAGTACGGAGGCAGATTTGAAGTTGGCGAAAAGTTTGGTCGATAGCAATTGCACCCTCATGTTGCCAGATCCCGAGAGTAGCCTCACCAGCCCTCCTCCAGATTCGTTCTTCGGGGTTCACATTGCATCTATCGCGCGGGGCATGCGGGTGCCTTTATGTCCATTCTTGGTGGCACTCCTTGCACATATCGGGGTATCGCCGTGCCAGATGACCCCAACCGCACATATGTTTACGGCTGCTTTTGTCGCACGTTGTAGTGGCGTTGGTATCCGGCCATCCATACCGTTGTTCCGTGCATGCTTTAGGTGGAACCGCCCTAACAATAAGACAGATGACGGCGGGTTCGTGTCACTTTGCCAATTACCGCACCGCAAGCTCTTTGATCAGTATCCAGATCCACCTAGGAAGTGGTCGAATAAATGGGTATGGGCATCCGCTCCCCGCTCGCTCCCCGTCACGTCCACCTGGGGTATTTCAATGCGCGAGTACAAGCCTGCCTCTCTCACCCCTGACCTTGAGGAGAAGGTCGAGGCCTTGCTCCAAGGGGGCCCTTTCCTGATTAATTCGTATACAGGTAAATCTTCTGTCCCAGCAGGTCACAGATGCTATATGAGATCATCCCTTAATTTGCTAATATTTTCAGATGTGGCAGGCAACAGACACGAAGTTGCTGCCCCCAATGTGTCATTGGGGACCATGCTCCCACCTCCTGCGCCTGGTGCGAATTTATGTCCGCCCAATCTTGGGGAGAAGCGCGGGGCCTCCCCGTTCCGTGAAGAGCAGGTTGCCATGGACGGAAAAGGTGTGAACTCCATTCTAATTCAAGAGGAGAAAGACCCGGCTGAAATAACTCCACCACCCTCTTCTTTATTTTTATTATTTATTCCTTCTTCTTTTTTTTAAGCAGGCCTAGTTACGGCGCAGGGTGTTGCCCCCCAGTCCGTGGTACCTGATGCAAGTAGGAGCGTGTCCGACGCCACCATGCTCGAGGTAGACGCCGGGGTGAAGAGCGGACAGGGTGTTGCCCCCCAGTCCGTGGTACCCATTGCAAGTAGGGGCATGCCCGACGCCACCATGCCCGAGGTAGACGTCGGGGTGAAGAGCGGGGTTCCCCCACGTCATGGGGAACAAGCCGGTAAGAAGAAGAAATGTGCGAATCCTCCTCTTTGATTCGGGAGCGGAGAAATAGTTCAACCGGTACTAATCCATTTTACTCTGTTTATTTCTTGCAGAGGTTGCTGGTATGCGGGGCAGGCTCGCTGCTCTGGCCGCAGAGGAGGACGCCAGGTTCCGGCCTTCGAGGACTGAAGTCATTCCCTTCATCGTGGAAAAACAACACGGGGCCCCTCTTGTTAACCAGCCAGCTCCTACCCTCAGTGCTTCATCGATTTTGGATATGGCGCGCTCTATCAAATCTTACAGCGCGGTATGCCGTAATTTGACGTTTCACTCTTCCTTTTTTATTATCATTGTCACTATAATCCTCACTAATTCTACGTCTCCTGCAGGGGCTAATGGACACAGCCGTCGCGCTTCAAACAATAGGTCGTCGTCGCGATGAGCTCCAGCACCAGGCTGACGAGGCTCACCATCACTCGGTTGCCGTTCAACGTCGGGCGGACGAAGCAACAGCTGCTCTGTCCGAGCTCCAGTCAAAATATGACTTCCTACAATCGAAGTATGATCGACTGCAAGCATCGTTCACGGATGCGGGGCGTCAGGCAGTTGCGGCATTTCAAACATCCCCGGAATTTTCAAAAATCATCGCTTCGAAGCTGGAGGCTCACCGCTCAGAGCAGGTCCAAGCATGGTTGAAAACCGAGGAGGGTCAACTTTGGCGGGATAAGGAAATTCTCATGTCCTTCAGGTGTGGCCGATACGACATGCAGACCACGTTGTACAATAGGCTGGCAGAGTTCTTTCCCGACTTCGATCCCGAAAAATTTGGTTTGCCCGAAATCATGCCAGATCCTGACGGGGCCAACGAGCAAGCGAACGATTTGTCCCTTTTGCACTTGGATATTCCAGATGACTTGGAAGATGCCGTTCATGGCTTTGATTTTGAGACTATCCTCAATGGTGTTCCTGAGAACATGCCTGATCCTTAGATCGTAGATATGGATCCGTTATATTGTCGTCTTTATTCTCATTTTTGTTGGACATTCCGCTTTACATTCCGCACTTGTGTTTTTATTTATTCTCACACTTAGCCATATAAGCTTTCCTCTTTGCGCAACTTTGTACCCGTGTCATGGTTCATCTTTTCCATTCATTTAACCATTTTTGATTCGAGACCACTTGGGGAACTAGTCGGGGATCTGCCCGTGTCATGGTTCATCTTTTCTATTCATTTAACCATTTTTGATTCGAGACCACTTGGGGAACTAGTCGGGGATCTGGCTCCCCACCTAAACCACGAGGGGCGGAAGGTCGGCTGGGCCAACCTTGACCGCGCTCCGCTTGGTAAGGCGAGGCTGACCCGCACACCATCGGTCTAGGACCAACTGGTGAGCAAGCTGTTTGGCCGTGGTCAGACGACGGATGTGCGAGAAGGGGTCGGAGCACGACTCCCCGCATACCTCCGGCCCGGAGGCCGGTCCTGCACCTTGACTTATACAACTTGTTTCATACTTAGGAAAATCTGATTTCCTTTTCTGAGAGTCGAACGGAAGTCAGCCAAACATAAGGGCAAGGCCCTCAAGGTCAGACCAGAACGGACCCGCACCATTGATCATAGTAAACGAGTACATATGCTATTAAGCCTAGCAACGTCAGACAACGGACTTGCGAGAAGGACTCGGAGTATGACTTCTCGCATATCTTCGGCCCAGGGTCGGTCATATAGTTGGTGTACCGTCGATTAGATCGAATGAGTGGACGGGCTGTTTAGACAGCAACGTCGGACAACGGATGTACGAGAGTGGCTCGAGGCGCAACCTCTCGCTTACCTTTTTGACCCGAGGGCCGGTCTAACGGTCGCCCTAACCGAGTAGCTAGTTTTTGACTTGGAAAATAGTTTGATCATTTCCTTTTCCGAGGATATAGCAGTGATGGACTAAACACCGAGAGCAGGACGTGATTTTTTTTTTGTTTTTTTTTTTTGCCCCTGCCCGTTCATTCCCAAGTGAGGTCGGACCTCAGTCAATTCAATAATAAATAGAGAACAACAAACGAACTTTTATTAAAGCAACCGTGTTAAAGCAATGGAAGGATTAATTATTAAACATCACTACTGATAAAACTTAAGTAAATGCTCCGCGTTCCATGCACGTTCAATGAGTTTCCCCTTCGTAGTCTTCAATTTGTAAGTCCCTGGTCCAATCACGCCTTCGACGACATAGGGGCCTTCCCACTTGATGGAAAGCTTCCCCCCTTCCGTGGGTTTGCTTGCCTTCCTCCGCCTTAGCACGTAATCTCCCACGTGAAAGCTCCGTGGCACGGCCCTGCTATCTTGGTACGCCTTCACTTGCCTACGGTAATTCTCAGCCCTAATGAATGCCCGGTCTCTTCTTTCTTCTATGAGGTGGAGTTCAGCTCTGAGCCTCTCCTCGTTGCTGGTTGGCTCGAATTCCTCCACCCGACGACTGGGAATCACCGCCTCAAACGGGGCCCTTGCCTCAAAGCCATAGCATAGAGCGAAAGGGGTTTCGCCTGTCGCCTTCCTGGGGGTAGTTCGGAATGTCCACAACACGTTACTCAGCTCTTCAACCCACACTATCCCGAGAGCTTCCAATTTCTTTTGGAGGCCATCTACAATCGTGCGATTGGTATTATCCACTTGCCCGTTCGCCTGGGGATAGCAAACGGACACCCGGCTTGACTCCACGCCCCATTCGGCGCAGAATTGCTTGAATGGTTCGCAATCGAACTGCCTTCCATTATCGGAAATAATTTGCAAAGGAACTCCAAATTGACAAAAGACATTCTTCCATATAAACTTTTTGCATTGCAGATGTGTTATGCTAGCGAGCGACTCTGCTTCCACCCATTTCGTGAAGTAATCCACGGCCACGATGACAAACCTTCTATTTCCGGACCCATTTGGTAAGGGACCAACCAAATCTATACCCCATCGAGTGAATGGTAGAGCAGTGCTAACAGGCGTGTACATCGTTGCCGGCCTTCCGGGGCTCTTCTGAAACTTTTGGCATGTGTCGCACCTCCTTGCGTAATCGGCACAATCCTTCATAATTGTGGGCCAGAAATACCCTTGGAGGACAACTTTCCTGGCCAAGGTGCATGCACCTTGATGGGCCGAACAAACACCGCCATGGAGCTCCGCGACAATCATCTCGGCTTCGTGTGGTCGTAGACACTTCAACAATGCTCCGTTGTAAGACCGTTTATACAGCTTACCGTCCAGGACGACATAGCTCGGGGCCCGTCGCTGGACGAGCTTCGCTTCCTGTTCCTTTTCGGGTAAGGTCCCGTCAGCTATGTAACGTAACAAATCGTCCACCCAGCTCCAATTTACTTCTTGTAGAGGAAGGACGGTTACCGAAGGGGAAGCTGTTATGCTTGAAGTTATCATTTCTTCAACCCGTGCAATCTTGGATATGTGTTCGGGTACTCCTTGGGACAAACGTGATAAGAGGTCGGCATCCCCGTTCTGGCTCCGTGGCACACAAACCAGCTCAGCTCGCCTAAACAATCCGAGTAATTCCCGAACAGCATCCCTGTACTTCGCCATCCTTTCTTCCTTTGCCTCGAAACCGCCCTTTACCTGGGATATGACTAATCGAGAATCACACTTCACCGTTATGCATTCTGCTCGCATGGCCGCAGCTATCCGTAGCCCCGACAACAGGGCTTCATACTCAACTTCATTATTGGACACTTTGAACAGGTACCGGTAAGCGTAGTACGCTCGAAACCCTTCAGGCGAGATCAAGACGATCCCGCCCCCGCAACCTTTCGTCCCGGACGATCCATCGGTCGCTAGGGTCCACCACTGTTCTTCACTATCTCTTTGTCTTTCCTTAACTTCCCTCGCCGTGCATTCCACAATGAAATCCGCAAGTGCCTGCCCTTTGATGGATGATCGGGGCTGAAATTCGACCTCGTACTGACTGAGAAGCATCGACCACTTCACGACCCGCGTCGTTCCCGGGGTTCTCAATGCTGCGCCCAGGGGTTGATCCGATAGGATTCTGATCGGATGTGCTTGAAAGTAATGGGTCAACTTCTTCGCCGTGATGTAAGCGGCATAGATGGTCTTCTCGAGCGGGGTGTACCGCAGCTCCGCATTCTGTAAGGTTTTACTTACGTAGTATACGGGGTTCTGAATCCCGCCTTCCTCACGGACCAGCACGGAGCTGATCGTGCCCTGCGACACTCCCAAATACAATACCAGTGTTTCTCCTTTCCTCGGCTTGCTTAACAACGGTTCAGAGAGAAGATACTTCTTTAGGTCCTCGAATGCCCGCTGGCAATCATCCGTCCACGCAAATCCACTTTGTTTCTTGAGAACCCGGAAAAAAGGTAGGGACTTCTTCGCAGATTTTGACATGAAACGCCCAAGTGATGCCAGCCGCCCAGTGAGAACCTGCACTTCCTTCACCGACCTCGAAGGTTCCATGTCAAGGATTGCTCTCACTTTTTCGGGGTTCGGCTCTATCCCTCTCCGGGTGACCATGTACCCCAAAAATTTTCCGCCCTGGACAGCAAACATGCACTTTTTTGGGTTCAGGCGCAGCCGGACTACCCTCATGATCCCGAAAATTTCGGCTAAGTCGTCGGCATGGTCTGTCGCTCGTACGCTCTTGACGATCATATCGTCTACATACGCTTCCATGTTCCTTCCTAGCACTGTTCGAAACACTTTTGCAACCATTCTCGTGTACGTCGCCCCGGAGTTCTTCAAGCCGAAAGCCATGACTAGATAGCAAAAGATCCCCTCCGGTGTGATGAAAGAGGTTTTCTCCGCATCATCTTCATGCATGGATATCTGATGATACCCCCGGAATGCGTCCATGAAGCTGAGGAGTTCGCACCCCGCTGTCCCGTCAACTAGCTGGTCTATGTTAGGTAAAGGGAAGGGGTCCATCGGGCATGCTCTATTAAGGTCTGTGTAATCGACGCACATTCTCCAAGTCAGGGGCTTCGGTGCCAGGACCACGTTTGCCAACCATTCTGGGTATAATACTTCCTTGATGTGTTTAATAGCCAAGAGCATAGCCACCTCCTTCTTCACGAAATCCCTTCGTTCCACCGAGAGGTGTCTTCTCTTCTGCTGGATCAGCTTCACCGTCGGGTCGACCGCTAGCCTGTGAACGGCCACACTTCGGTCCAACCCCGGCATATCCTCAGGGCCCCATGCGAAGATCACACTGAATGTGACCAACACTTGGATGATCTTCTCTCTCATCCTGGCTGGGAGCCCCAACCCGATTTTGATCTTTCGCTCCGGGTGCCCGGGATCGATATGAACTTCTTCAACCTCGGAGGTGGGTTCAGCGCGGAGCTGGCCATCCTCATACTTCATGGCTTTGCTGTTGATAGTGTGGACCCTGAGGTCCTTTTGTCCGAGTTGTTTGCACGCCTTCATGTAACAACTCCGGGCCATCCTTTGATCTCCCCGAGCTATCCCGACCCCGTTCGGGGTGGGGAACTTCATACATAAATGCTCCTGAGAGATAATGCATCTCAAGTCCTCCAACGCGGGTCTTCCCATGATGATTTTGTGCGGACAGGTTAAACGTACGACAATGAACTCAAGGTTCAACTTTGCTACACAGGGTTCTGAACCCACCATCACAGGCAACACCACACTGCCTTCCGATTCGATTGAGTCCCCGGTAAATCCGGATAAAGGTGTTCTTACCGGACTCAGATCCGCCCCGCTCAGACCAAGGCCTTGGAATGTGTCGTAATACATTACGTTCACCGAGCTTCCATTGTCTACTAGAACTCGATGAATGATTGTATTGTTGATCTCCACCTTAATCATTAAGGCGTCCCTATGCGGTGGTGGCATGGGTGGTAGGTCATCATCAGTGAAGTAGATCGGATCTCTTCTCATCTTCTTTCCTGCAGGTACCCGGGTAATTTCCCCGACGTACAAGGATCGAGCCCATCGTTTCCTTTTGCCTGACGTGTCCCCTCCTTGGGGGCCGCCCACGATGTAGGAGCATCTGTGATGCTTCCGGGCTCCCTCCCCTAGGTCGCACTCGTCATCCTCGGACAGAGCCCCGAGCTCGCGCTTCTTTGGAGGTTGGTCAAGGGGCTGTTTCTCCTTGGACGTGGTGGCTTGATCGGAACGCCTCCATGTCAGGTTCCTCCCTTTCTGGGCATTTCCCGGTTTTCCTACAAATTGGCCCAAATATCCTTGTTTGATAAGTGCCTCAAATTGTCTGCGGAGAACGATGCATTCGTCCGTATCATGCCCGAAATTTCGGTGAAACCTGCAGTACTGGTCGGTGTTGCGTTTGGCAGTGACCACGTCACATTCCTCTGGGAAGGGAACCAAACCCTGCTCCTCGGCATAGTCGAGGACCGTCCCGACCGGTTGAGCCAAAGGTGTCAGAAGTTTGGTAGGTAGGAGCGGACCGTTCGGGACGTCCGTCCTTCCCTTGCTCTTATTCTTCTTACCTTTGAACCGGCCGCCCTTTCCGCCAGATTTCCTATCGGCATCTTCATCATCTGGGTCACCACGTCTTCCCTTGTCCTTCGTGTCTTCTTTCTTTCCATCCTCTTCATCTCTTTTCCTCTGTTCAGCGTCCTCTGCCTCAGCCTGACGGTCAGCCCGCCTCAGGGCTTCCTCGTATAAAGCGGGTGGATTCCTAACAAAATCCTTGTAAAGTTCTCCTGATCGGATAGAATTTGTCAGCATTGCCACTCCGGTCCTATCGTCAAGGCCCTGAACCTTGACCGACTCGACCCTCCATCTTGCCAGGAAAGTGGACAGGGCCTCTTTCTTTCCTTGCTTCAGGCTAAACAGGTGGCTGAAATTCTTCTTCACATCTCGTGAGCCGGCGAACCTCAAGAGGAAGTGCCTAGCCAACTCCCTGAAGTTCCCGATGCTCCCATCGGGCAGTGTGTCATACCATTCACGAGCCGGGCCATCTAGAGTAGCCGCGAATCCTCTGCATCGTATGGCATCTTCGTACCCCATCATGACCATATATGACAGGTAACGTGATATGTGGTGTTGCGGGTCTGAAGTGCCCTTGTAAGTATCCACATTGCAAGGTTTGTAGCCCCTTGGCAACGGAGCCTCCATTACGGCACGAGTGAAGGGCTCCGGGATATGGAGGTCGGCCACGTATGACTCTCCCCCAACAACCCTCCTCCTTAGCTCGTCCAACCTCAGTCTGAGATCCTCCACAGCTTCCGGCGCCGGTTCCTCTAGCACGCGTCCAGCACGGGGCTGGACCCGCACATAGGATTCTGCGACTCTTTCACGCGCGTGAGGCCGACGGCCACCACGGGGGCCTTCTATGGAACCGGTTCGACCGCTCAGACGACGGGGGTGATGAGAGAAGTCATCCCCGCCCTCCAGTGACGAGTCTCGGTGGGGCCCTCCTCTTTCGGGTCGTCGAGGCTGCTCGACCCGTCGGGACATATGCTCCCTCCGGGGCAAGGATTCCCTTCGTGATTCGTCCAAACTAGTATGTCGCCCTTCATATCTCCCAGAGGAAGTCTCGATGTCTTCAGGGGCGGCGTGCCTCGGAGTTTCATGATTAGCTCTCTGCGGCATCATCCCCAGGAAATTCTGAGCCAAATCCCAAATGGCACGCGTGGCCTCCTGTAGCGCCCGCACTCCAGCGTCAAGTCGGTTCGTGCGCGGAGCCCGACGACGGCGACCTCCAATCCGATCACGAATGGATTGTCTGTCATGACTACGGCTTAGCGAACCCCTCAGGTCCCCTGAGCCCGACAAATGGCTCCGGAGATCTCCTATCGGTCTCACCACCTGGCTTCTCACACGATGGCCATTGGGTTGTTCTGAATGCTCGGTGTGAACGGAAACTCGCTCTTGCCTTGATGATCCTGCCATTTTCCTCCTCAAAGATTCTACCGAAAACTGAGAGAACAACTTAGCTCTCAATGAAAGCACCAATGTTGGTAGAAAATATGTTGAGTAGAAAATTCGGCAGCAATTCAGTACAGTAAAAGTGACTTATCCAATACAAAAAGAGGGGCGGCCTATTTATAGGCGCTTACAAGAGGTTTCTCGAATACTAATGGGCTTGGCCCAATTAAACAACTAAAACAAGAAGCCTGATCCCAGGCCAATGGGCTGGTCGGGCCCAGAGTTAAACCAATCAATCCAAGGACCATATTATCTAGCCGGACCGTGTGCTGGACCTGGTTCGCGCCCGAGCCCAGGCATATTGGGTCGATAGTATTGGACCTGGCCCATTATCCCAACAATTATTATTATATTATTATTATATTATTATTATTATTACAAAAAGAAGTTTAATATTATTTGTTCTTATTATTCCATTAGTAGTAATAATTGTAGAACTTTTTCATATTTACTTACTTCATATCCATTAGTAGTAATAATTGTAGAACTTTTAAACTACATAATATTATTGAACACATTTATTAACACTAAATTAAAAACATGATAAAAAATTTAGTATTTGTTTACGTATTAATTGTAGGTTGTAATGGCTGAACGAGTTGCACACTCTGGCCCTCGGGGTCGTTCTGTTTTAGTTATGATACCCGGTGAACATCGTGCCGATCGTGTGTGGCACGAATCAGCATTTCGAGATGACAAACTGAGGTGCCATCACTATTCGTCATGTGCCTATGTTGATGATGGTCCGCGTCATCCTGGGGTGGTACGGTTGTTGAGAGCATCTGGGTTTCACAGTGTCGAGAGAATAGGACAAATACAGTTAGATTGGTCACTTCTGACTGCGTTAGTGGAGAGGTGGAGACCCGAGGTACACGCATTTCATTTGCCCTTTGGTGAGGTAGGATTGACTTTACAGGATGTGCAAGTGTTGTTGGGGTTGCCCATTGACGGCATACCACTCACTGGTCCCACGATTACTGATAAGGCAACGTTGTTGCAGATGTGTGCACAGTCTGCTGGTTTTATACCAGAAGATGATGATTTAAATTCAGCTACCATAAAAGTAACAAATATCCACCCTATTCCATTAACCGATTGGAGCACTGAAAACGAGGTGACTCAACACACTAGGGCCCTCATTTGGCAGTTGTTAGGTGGTTCATTATTCCCTACCACTAGTGGAAACATGGCTAGTTGGTATTTCTTGGAGTTGTTGCAGGGGAACTTAGTAGATGTGCGCCGATGGAGCTGAGGCTCAGCGGTCTTGGCCTATCTGTATCACACCATGTGTAAGGCGGCCAAGGCCCAGGCTAAACAGATTGGAGGATGTTTAATCCTTCTACAAATCTGGGCATGGGAGAGATTGCCGATGGTTCGGCCCCAAGGTCATCTCCCACTTGACCATATATTGGATTTTCCGTATGCTGTTAGGTATTGTTTAAATAAACAATACATTATCTATGTTACTTTGATTATTGTATTACAAGATGCTATTTATGCTTTTAATCTACGCTATTTATTTATTTATTTATTTATTTATTTATTTATTTATTTATTTATTTATATTATTGTTCATGGAAACTAAATCTAGGTGGGCGTGTCAACATGATTGGCAGCAAACAAACATATTTTCGTTACGGGTATATAGGGACCAACTAGATCGGATGACGGAAGATGAGGTATAATTTGTGACTTGTACAATTCAATTTTACATGATTTTTTATTTGTTACATTCAAATTCAATAAATTAAATGATATAAATAACTATGTGTGCTTACTAATTGGGAGATATTTTTCAGTTCAAATGGATCCCCTATCCGTTGATGAACCTTCCAGCATATTGTCATGATGCGAACGATTTGTGGGCTGCGGAGGTTCCATTGATTTATACACGTTTTTCTGAGGCACACTATCCTAGAAGGTTTTGTCGTCAATTCAACGCATATCAGGATCGACCCGCTCCGGTTGTGGCAGGGCATCGTCACCACAATAGTGGATCACGTTTCATGGTCGAGCTTGTTGAAGAATGGGCATTACGGTGGAACAAAATATTCCCACTTCAGTGGGTTGACGAAGGTCCTTTCATTAGTGATGAGTACCGCGAGTGGTACCGTAATGTAGGAAAACGATGGCTCACAAACCCGTGTGTTGATCGTCCCACTCAGGGATTCGTTCCTGCTCACCCACAAGCGGCTATTGCGGTAACTATTCGTTTTGATTCGTAATTCTATTAATAAATAATTTGAAACAAATTATAAAAACTGATGCATATTTTAGATTCAATGTTTGGGTGAGATAATTCGCCGATTACGAGTCAGAGATGATCCGGATGACATCATTGCACACGGTGTAGAGTGTCTTACACGACTTGGTGCAGAAGAAGCGATTGATCATGACATCATCACATATGAAGCTGCAGATGTTGATCCTCTCACTGCTCATCGTCCCCCACGCCCTCATCGTGGGAGGGGCGGTCCCACACGCGGAAGGCGAATTGGCCGGGGTAACGTTCGGATGGGGGATGCTGGCACCCATGATGATGCACATCTGCATTCTCAATCCTCTCGTGCCAGTTCATACCATCCATCTCCGGTGCATCAACCACATGTGTACTCCACACCCACCAGTCCAAATATTCCTATATTCGATGCAGGACCTAGCTTTTTCCATTCACCGGTGGATTGGATGATCGACTTATTTGGCTCTGAGACTGCAGGACCGAGCACCCAACCTGCTGTTGAGGTTAGGCCGAGATGGGAGCCTCGCAGTCGTGAGACAGATTCAGACGAATCTGAGTAGTTGTAATAAATTATATCATTGTAGCTATATTAAATCTATTATATATGTTGTGGTTGATATTGAATATTTTATCAGATAAAATAATGTCTCTGGTCAGATTTAAAAAAATACTTTATCAGATAAAATATTCCCGGTCAGATAAAATATCTCTGTATGGATGCTCACCCACCCCGCAACTAACATCATTACTCCCAACAACCTCAATAATGCCTCTAGTCAGATTAAAAAAAATACTTTATCAGATAAAATATTCCCGGTCAGATAAAATATCTCTGTATGGATGCTCACCCACCCCGCAACTAACATCATTACTCCCAACCACCTCAATAATGCCTCTGGTCAGATTAAAAAAAATACTTTATCAGATAAAATATTCCCGGTCAGATAAAATATCTCTGTATGGATGCTCACCCACCCCGCAACTAACATCATTACTCCCAACCACCTCAATAATGCCTCTGGTCAGATTAAAAAAAATACTTTATCAGATAAAATATTCCCGGTCAGATAAAATATCTCTGTATAGATGCCCACCCACCCCGCAACTAACATCATTACTCCCAACCACCTCAATAATGCCTCTGGTCTCAATAATTCACCTCTAACACTCACTATATAAACAACACTTCACACACTAATTCTTATCACTCACATCTCTCATTTCTATCACTTATAACTCTCATTTTACCACTCACAACAAAAAATTATGTCAACTGAGCAGAACATAATAGTTCTTGTTTATTGGAATGGGGTATTGACTAATGTTGACAACGAAGTCAAATACTCTTCATTTCCGAATGCAGTACTTTTCTTAACTGCCGGTGTTAGCTACACAACACTGTGTGAGCGTATTATTGCTGAGATTTCTCGTGATGGTTTAGATAATATCAAAACCATTCATGGAAAATTTCCCTTTCATACTACAGATGGTGTGTGTGCATCTATGCCGTGGCCCATTCACGATGACCAGTCATGGATCTATTTTATGCAAATAGCTTCGAACGTGTACGATCGCTTGGAGTTATTCATTGATGCAAACAATAGGGATGTCATTATTCCATTGCACGAAGGCCCTTCTAGGCGGCGGCGCAACCGGGAGCCATTATCATCAACTCAAGGTCCTTCAATGGTTGATATGGATCCGCCACATGAGGACGTGGAGGATGAAGAGGATGAAGAGGATCCCGACTACAACTATCTTTCATTTTCGGAAGAGGAGAGCGCTTCCGAAGATAGTAATGATAGTCGTGACTCATCTTGGGTTATGCCACATAACCAAGAGGATCCGTTTGTTGAACCCGCATACCGTGTCGTAGACCCAATAGAAGTGGGAAGGATATATGATTCCTATGACGAACTCAAAGAAGCAGTCTCTATTCAAAACTTGAAAGAATATCGAACATTCCGGAGTGAGGCAAAACGTGCAACATACTGGAGGGCTAAATGCGTCTACGATGAGATGTGTTCGTGGCACATTCAAGCATCACAAGTGAAGAGCACAAACCTCTGGAAAGTAAAGAAGTATCAACCCCGCCATAACTGCCTTCCGAATTATACAAGAGGCAGAATCGACAAACTCCTTACAAGTAAGCTCATCGCTTCTGAAATTAGTTCCACGATTCGCATAAAACCAGAGTATAGTATTAAGTTGATAATGAATGACATACACCAAAAGTATAACATTCATGTTGGATATAAGAAAGCGTGGTATGCTCGTATATTAGCACTCGAGAAACGGTTTGGCAATTGGGAGACATCGTACAACGATCTCCCAAAAGTGTTACAAGCAATGGCGTATACTAACCCAGGGAGCATAATTGATATTCAAAGTGATAACACCCAGACCCAAGGTACATATGAATTTAAATTTGCTTTTTGGTCAATAAAAGCGGCCATTGATGGGTTCAATCACTGCCTTTCGGTTGTGTCAATTGATGGAACTCACTTGTACGGAAAGTACAAGGGTCATCTCCTAGTCGCGGTGGCAATGAATGCGAACCGTGAAATCTACCCTCTAGCATTTGGAGTGGTAGATAGTGAGAATGGTACTAGTTGGACGTGGTTCTTACAGTTTCTTGTGACACACATCATACGGCCGCATCGGAATGTTTGCATCATCTCGGATAGGCATGCGGGTATAGATTATGCATTTCGGAATGTGGAAGAATTGGGAACACCTCGATTTCAGAGACGTTACTGTCTTCGCCACATTAGAAGCAACTTCATGTCCCAATTTAGAAGTAAACAACTAAAGAAGTTGTGTTGGCAAGCGGGAAGTACCCCGATTGTAAGTGAGTTTAACCATTTCATGCAACAAATTAGGGGTATTAACGAGAGAGCATTCAAGTATTTAAATGACATTCCCCAAGAAAAGTGGGCACTTTGTTTTGATGGTGGTTGTCGTTATGGTATTTTGACAACAAATCTTTCGGAAAGTTTCAACAATGCTCTCAAAGGATGTAGGACATTGCCAATCACTGCCCTTGTACGAGCAACTTTTGACAAACTAGTCCAACTCTTCGCCCAACGTCGTAGTGCTGGTATGATGTGGCAGCAAGTTGGATATCATTTTCCGGACAACATTCGGAAAGAGATTATGGAGCGTTGGCACCAAAGACCTCACACTATGGTTCTTCCACACAACCACTACACAAGAATTTACTCAGTCGCCGTGGATAATGCAACACCTGTTACGGTGAATCTATCGAGACTTGTCTGTGAGTGCGGTTGTTGGAGGATGAACGGCATGCCATGCGTCCATGCGCATGCTGTCTGCCATTTTCTTAAGTGCCCTGTTGATCATCTTATTCCAGAGGTATACAAACTAAGTTCTTACATAAATGCACATTCCAGTGATATCATGCCATTGCCGAATCTGAATGAGTGGCCACAAAATGAGTTCATTCTTCTGCCGCCTAAATACTCTTCCAGAACTTCTCGAGTAGGACGCCGTCAAGAAACAAGATTTCCAAATGAGATGGATATGCGTCCAAGACGCAGAGCACAACATGATTGATTCACATTTGTACTCTCTTATGGTGTATTATTTCTTTTCTTTGTAGTTTGTTTTAATGTTGTAACACTTTTATTAGCCATATGTTTCAAATGTACTTTTAATATGTTATGAACTTTGTTTAATTTTGAGTTCATATGACTTAATGGGTCACTTATTATTAAACACGTGATACTGTAAACTGTATTTGTAATTACTTTCAAGTTAATAATGCTGAATGGGTCAACTGTTTTTAAAACTCGTCACATTGATTAAGTATATTGATACTTTTAATCGATGTACTTTGTTATTTTTTGGGTTCACATTTTTTAATGGTTAGGTTTTTATTATTCGAGTTCAGTATTTGTGTTCAAAATATTTATTGGGTCAATTTTGTAAAACGTGTGCTTATTTAATTGAATGGGTCAACTTTTTGTAAAACGCGTATTCATGAATAATATTGTACAATTTTTACTTAAGTTGAATCACTTATGATTTATAACAAATACAAAAAAAATCTTTTAAAAAAAATTTAACAAAAATTTTTACTGAAGTGAAAAATTCAGCAACAAAATTGAGGCCAAACAAATTAAAGTTGGTCATCTCCGAATGGGTCATCTTGGAATTCGTTTTCGGACCTGCCAACTCCGAATTCGGAGGAGTTGGTCTGACATCGTCAAGGCAGACTCTATTTTCGGACCTGCCAACTCCGTTTTGCGCTATCCCAGAAAACTTCAAAAAAATACATCTTTAGGAATCGGATGTTAGAAATGTGCACTTATCCGTCAAACACCCAGTTATCGGAGCAGGGGTAGTGACGACTAGACCGTTGGCAGGGATTGCGCCAGCGGAATCATCGCATACAATGATTGCGGCGGCAGCGATACTACCGATAGTCGTGGTGGCTGGGTGGCTAATGAGTTGATTAGTGACTACTCCCTCCGTCCCACAATTATCTTCATAGTTACTATTCACACTGTCAACTCAAATTACTCTTAACTTTTACTTTATATATTTAATTTTTATCAAACTTAAATTTTCTTGATCAGCCTTTGTAGCGGATTTAATGTAGTTTCTGAATATGTAAATTTAATTTACTAAAAATAATCTGAGTGTGAACAAGGATCAAGTTGCTTTATCGTCAATCAAGTATCGTAAACCGAACTACGAAGATAAATATGGGACGGAGGGAGTATTATTTTTTATTGTGTAGTGACTCGGTTACTCAATCATAAAAGTCAACCCAAAAGATAGTTATCTTTCCAAACTCACGCTAATGTACGAAAATCATATTTTAGGAATTTTGTTTTTCAAGTATCTTTTCTGTCATTTAGACTCCTAATAGTTAATGACATTTACAAAAGATGAGAAATAGAGAAGATGAATGATTTAGCTATCGAAAGTGAAACGATTTAGAATAGTCACATCTTTAGAGGGGGGAATTTCATAGTTCATAATAATAGAGTCAAATCCTTTAATTGGACTAAAATATTGGTAACGTGCATAATTAGGACCACCATTATTTTCTTCCTAAATAAGTACCACCAATAATATTATATTATTGGTTTAGAAAAAAGAGAGTTTGACCATTTTTAAAAAATGTATTGATATATTATTATTGTTGTTGTTATTATTAGATTTTTTTCAAAATTATTATTAAAATAAACTTAGTTACACGAATATGACTACTAGTTATTACAATGTAGTGTCATGGTAACTCAATTTTAAAATTTTAACATAATTTAATATGATTTCATTACTACCTTAGTCATTAGTCACAATTTTGTAAAAAAATCTTTATTTTAATCATAAAAATTTAATTATTGTTTGTTATTATTATTATTATTATTATTATTATTATTATTATTATTATACATGTTAGTTTGGACGGAAAAGAGTTATATTTTTTTAAAACTAGACCCAATTTAATTTTTCGCCCCTATACCTTCAAACATATAGGAGTATCCATGTGTATAAATATATAATTGGTGAAATATATAAAACTAAAATTTAGCTAAAAAAAAAGGGAAGGAGAGAGTATATAAGAACGTTTCTATTTCTCCCATTTTTTATGTGCTCATTCTGTATTTGACGAGTATCTTTCGAATTTTTGTGAATACATAATTATAATTACGGAGATTTTCTTAAATAGGACTAAATAAAAGGATAATTGCAACAATAGGAGTTTAATGTTTAAATTCTTAAAATAGGGGTTACTCTTCCTATTCTACCCTTTACCTTGTCATTCCTAATAGGATTTTTTAAATAATAATTATAAAACATAAAAAATTAAAATAAAAAATAAAAATCGTATAAAATAAATAAAAAATAAACAAACATCAACCACCACCTCAACCACCTTCCAGCACCACCACATCCAGTTGCCGAGAAAGATTGCCAAGTTGGGGGAAAATGTCATCGTGATTGCAATTTTGAAAAGAAAGTTGAATATTTTTAAGGAGTGAAAATACCATCTTTATGACATTTTAAGAGAAATGTGACATTTTTTCACGAGATGACATTTTTTTCCGACATTTGGAGGTGGTGGTGTTGGGCGGTGGAGGATGTAGAGGTAATGGCCTACATATTTTTTCATATTTTTTAAGTATTTTATTTTATTTTTTAGATTTTTAAAGTTTTTTAAAATATTTTTTATTTTTTTAAACTATGTTTCTATCTTATTTTATATTTTCCCATTTGTTTTATTTATTTATAAATATTTTAATGATTTTTTATGTATTTATTATAAATAAAACTATGATTTTTTTATTAATAAATAAATCTATTAGAAATTATATGTTGAAGGTATACTAGAAATAAGAGACATATATTATTCATATTTTGAGTTACTTTCAGTCTCATTTCAAGTTTTTGTGAATCTATAAAAACAATTTATAATCTTAACCATTTTCATGTAGTTCTAATTCAATTGAATATAAAAGTAAGTAATTTGAAGATGGAGTGCCAGACTGACAGTGATCAACTCGCGACGAAGAACAACCGAGCAAAAAAAATAACAATCCTCTACAAAAAAAATCACAAGCCAGACAAAAGAAAAAAGAAAAAGAAATACCACACCCAAGAGGTCACCACAGCCGCGTACGACCAAGAACGATCCTCTACATCCCAACCCATATCTGGGCCGGCCCATTAATCACGCTCTATTATTCTTATTATTATTATTATTATTATCATTATTATCATCATCATCATCATCATCATCATCATTATTATTAGAGTTAATTATCAAAATAGGACTAAAAGTCATTCATTTTTCACAAATAGGACAAAAAAATAAACTATGTTTGCATAAGACTAATTATGTGTACCTTGGACAATTATACCCTTATAGTTATTAAAATGTTTTAATTCCTAATAAAAATAATAACAAATAATAAAAATTCGTAAAAAATACTAAAAAATTAAGAAAAACATTTCGATATTAAAATTTTAATTAATTTTTTTATTCAAAATAAATAAATAAATAAATAAAAACTCAAAAAAAAATTGCCGCCGTCTCTGCCGCCTCAGCACCACCACCTCCAGTCACCAGGGGAAAAAATGCCAAGTTCATTACGAATGCCATATTTATGGCAGAAAAAAATGAAAATGTTGGCATTCGAAAAGAGAAATATGCCACTTTTTTGGCATTTTCAGAAAAAAATGGCATTTTTCTGGGAAAATGGCATTTTTTTCATCGGCCGGAGGTGGTGGTGCTGGGAGGTAGTACAGGCGGTGGGAAAGGCATCCATATTTTTTTTAATTTTTTTTACGGAGTTTTACTATTTTTTATTAATTTTTTAAAAAATAAAATTATTTTAAAAAAAAAGTTTTTGAAATTTTTATTTTATAAAAATTTTATTAATTTTTTAATTATATTTCTACGAATTTTTGAATTTTTTTCGAATTTATTATGAATTAAACATTTAATTATGGCTTTTGACTATTTTTAATTCATATTTAATAGAAGGGTAAGAATGGAATGCAAAAATAGGTATGTTTCCAATAGGACTCATATGGTCCTATTTTAGAATAAAAACATAACAAGTCCTATTTTAGGTTTTTGCCATAGTTTTAGTCCTATTTGAACTAATTTCTATTATTATTATTATTATTATTATTATTATTATTACGGGTCTGCATCGGTTCAAAACCGGACCGGACCGTACTGAACCGGACCAGATATCATTCCGGTTCGATCCGGTTCCAGTTTTTCTGGTCCGGTTCGGTCCGGTTTTCCGGTTTAAACCGGTTAGTGCACACCCCTAATTATTAATATTATTATTATTATTATTATTATTATTATTAGGGGTGTGCACCAGTTCAAAACTGGACCGGACCGGACCGAACCGGACCGGATATCATTCCGGTTTGATCCGGTTCCGGTTTTTCCAGTCCGGTTCTGTCCGGTTTTCCGGTTTAAACCGGCTAGTGCACACCCCTAATTATTATTATTATTATTATTATTATTATTATTATTATTATTAGGGGTGTGCACCGGTTCAAAACCCTACCGGACCGTACTGAACCGGACCGGATATCATTCCGGTTCGATCCGGTTCCGCTTTTTCCGGTCTGATTCGGTCCAGTTTTCTGGTTTAAACCGGATAGTGCACACCCCTAATTATTATTATTATTGTTGTTGGATAATTGATACTCATATTGTATGAAAAGGAGATTTGAACAAGAATGTAGTAGGGAAATGGAGAAGAAGAAGATAAGTGTGTATAGAATGAATATTGGTTGCCTGAGTTGTGCAGCCTCCTAAAGGAGTATATATAGGGAAAATCCGGGTCTGGGCCTCTAATATGGGTCTGACAGACCCGGTTACATAAATGGACTGATAGTACAAAAAACTAATCTAGAACATCTGAATAATAATAATGTACAATAATATGAATGATATCCGCTAAACGTGTGTGGGTCGCTGTCCAGGCCCAGTAGTCGTCATACCGGGGGGTCGGAGTCCATATATTCCATCAGGAGTCCCCCACTCCCTGAGTCGAGAGTACTCGAGGCGAAAGGGAGTAGTTCACAATTGTATCTGCAACGTTCTTCTGCCTTTGGTTTCTTCCTCTTCGGTCGGGGGACCTCCACCCTTGTCCATGATGGGGAGGTGCCTCGTTAAAAACCTCATTAGAAAAAAACCCAGTGGGAAAAAATCCTAATAAAGGGAAAAAGAGTACA